ATAGTGTTGAATGAGACTTGCAACATGGCTAAAGAATTTCCCACATTCACTGCACTCATAAGGTCTCTCTCCAGTGTGAACCCTTTTATGCTGGACAAGGTGGGAGCTTCGGCTAAAGAACTTCCCACAGTAGCTGCACACATGGGGGCTTTCACCAGTGTGCACTCTGTGGTGTCTCAGAAGACTAGAGTGTTGGCTAAACAATCTCCCACACTCAGGGCATTCATAGGGTTTTCCTCTATTGTGAACTCTCTGATGCTGAATGAAGATGGAGGGATCAGTAAAGAATATCCCACATTTCCTGCATTCATAGGGCCTCTCTCTTCTCTGGACTCTCTGCGGGTGAACATGTGTGAATGTGTTACTGAAAGGATAGCTAGACTGACTGCTCTTGTTAAGCCACTGGGCTGTGGGAAAGTACAGTGTTTCTCCAGAACTCTCGTGTACCTCCTCCCCATCGGGAGTGATCCAACACTGCACAAAGTCTGCTGTAGCCACAAATTCCTCCTTCAACTCCCCACACATGAAAGGCTCCTGGGATGCCTGGTCTATGCAGGTGTGTCCAGGAGACTCCCTACCTTCCTCCCTTCTGGCAGGCTCATCCTCATGTTTCTGCACCTGTTGCTGGGCAAAGTTTGCATTGAACTTGACCCTTGTCCCATTGGCCTCACACATATGGGCTTTCAGCCCGGTATGTGTATCGTCCTCTTCATCCAGGTACAAAATCTCTTTCACGAGTAGGCCACATGTGTCAGAGGAGTAGGCCTTCTGCATAGACAGGCCTGTCTTGGGATTTCCAGCCTGTATTATTCCTTGTATAGAAATTCTCTGCTGAGAAGGTAACACTTTAACCTCTGTTCTAGGGCAAAAACCTGTAAACAGAGAAATGCTGGTCAAATCATATAAACTTTGATAGAAGAAAACAGTCCCATCACAAGTCTCTGATGGATGTCAGAATGAGTCCTTGGGAACCTGAGCAGGAAGAGAAACCTCAGCTCAGGATAAGGAGTGGTTGGCTCTCTGCATTACTGTGATTTTCCAGGTCACAAAACAGGGGAGGTCTCTACTGCAGGAAGGTCTCTACCCAGTGGAAGAGAGGCAGGGTACCCAGATCACTTCTCTACAAAGGCCCTGGGGTCGACCAAATAGCTCAGTGGATTAAAGCGCCTGCAACAGGAACAGAGGCCAGACCCATCCCTGGGGGGCGCTGAGATGGCAATTGAGACTGGAAATGGTGGTGTGCACCTGTAATCCCAGCACATGGGAGGCTGTAAACAGAAGAATCACTACGAGTCCTGAACATTCTGTAGGTCCTTCCCTAAAATGCAAAGGCTTAGGAGAATGGCATTGGCTTCCAAGAAACTGTAAGGACCACGAGACTCAGTGACTAATGTTGACAGACATGGTAGCTCCCACAGGGGGACTGAGATGTGGAGGTGACAAGGGAGGGGCCAACAGCCAAAGTCAGATCAGAGATCCAAATGGGCAAGGTCTCAAGAGAGGGAAAGGAATGGCAGAGATAAGAACAGAAGCTAGTAGGGTTCAGACACAGTAATGATACTCATCTCCCCCAGATCTTGCTTACCAGAGCCAGGCTTGCATAAAGCCCTACATTAATTTTATTTTATTTTATTTTTTGGTGGTACTGGGGATCAAACTCAAGATTTTGCACTTGCCAAGCAGGAGCATAAGCCACTGAGCTATCTCCCTGGCCCACCAAAAGCCTCTCTTGCTGTGACTGAAGTCATAATTCATGGACCCAGGGTTCTCTCCTTATCCCACATTCTCCGGTAACATGGCACTTGAAATATGTCAGGCCTAAAGGAAAGATGGTCATGGGAGGTAATCCAGAACAGACAACAGGAAAGGAAACTCAGTATTAGAAATTACACATCCCAGCAAATCTGGCAGACACAGTCCAGTGGTTTGCAGGTAGTGACCACATGAGTGCATGGTAGTTCTTCACAGTCTTGTATAGCACATGTTAGCAAAAGGAGCAGAACCTGAAGCACAGGAGGGTCAGAGGTCTGGACAGTCAAACAGGTGAGAGGTGACAAGCAGGGTGGGCTCTACAGGGCTTTCCACAAGGATCCGCTGCCTGCACCCTTCCCTGCCAGACGCTGATAGAAGTGTGGGGCTGATCAGGAAGGGGAAGCACTACATGTGGCACTGTTTTGAAACCCACTGAAGCCCACAACACACAACAGGAACATGGGGGACAGGCACTGTTCATGCTGTTGGCATGGGAAAAGGAGTTGTCCTTGTACAAAGGAGACAGGTAGAGAAGAGCTTGGGATACCCAGGCAAATCAGACGTCCTTACCGAGAGAGGCTATGAGTGCAAAGTTCTCCACCATCACATTGCAGTACAGGAGTCTCTGTGCCTCATCCAGCAGCCCCCACTCCTCCTGGGAGAAGTAAATGGTCACGTCCTCAAAGGTCACACAGCCCTGCTTTGAAGGACATTATATTCCATGATTAATCTCCTTCCTCAGGCCTCCCTCTCCATTCCCTACTCATCTTCTCTCTCTCTCACCCTTCTTCCCAGTTACAATGTGACACCAGGTCCTGGTTCCACTAGTACTGGCTTTTTTTCTATCTTACTCGTTCACACTGTCACCCACCCTAGAGTGACAGATGCAGGAGGGCAGAGGAGCAGCATCTAAGCTCTGGGCCTGACTTGTATGTCCCAAGCCCTTCCCACTGGCCCTTCTCCTAAATTTGCAATGTCATGCTGCTTAGACACAATCCAACGTGGGTGAGTCTTCACCCTCAGTTTCCTCTCCAGGCGCACCCATGTCTGTACCCCACTCTTTGTCTTGTACCTGCCTTACAGCTCTGGACCCTGCTCTGCACTCCCATGGTCACAGCTACTCACTCCCCATCCTTGTCTACCTCTCAGCCACTTTTGTGGACTTGTGTGTGTCACTCTGTACACTCTACTTGGCTGGAGAGGGACTGGCCAATACAATCATTAGGCCGTTTCGCCATGGGCTTCCCCCCCACCCCCGCCATGGGCTTTTGATGGTGCTCATCTGCACGCTTAATACTCATCTTTGCTCTGCAGGCCTCCCCACTCAGCCTTCTTCCTGGCTTTAATCACAGCAGGCACACAGATGCCAGACACCGGCCCTCTTTTGTGTTCACGCTCCCCCTTCACCACTCACACTTATTCAGAGGCCAACCCATCTGATTCTACTATCCAGTGCAATCGTTTTTTTTTTTTTTTTTTCTTTCTCTCTCTCTCTCTCTCTTTTCTTTCTTTCTTTCTTTCTTTCTTTCTTTCTTTCTTTCTTTCTTTCTTTCTTTCTTTTTATCATTTGTTTTTGAATGCTCCCCTAAGCCCGTGTGTCAAAAGGCCTGGATTGCAGGCTGTTCTTATCGTAGGTGGTAGAACCTTTGGGAGATGGTGCCTAACTGAAGGAAGTTAGGTCATGGTGGGCTTGCTCCTGAAAGAAGTATCAGGATCTCAGCCCCTTCTTTCTTTCTCCTGCCCTATACCTCTCTGTGTCCCAGCAAATCTGGGTGATCTCATTTGTCCCTACCTAACTACAGGCTTGACTGAAAAACCCTCAGGCTCTATCGGAAGACACCACAGAAGGCAGGGAGTTCCCAAAGTCAGGGAACACAGAGGGCTTTGCCTTCGCTCTGTTACAATGCTCTGCCCTTGCTGGGACTGCCTCTAGGTCTCTGAGAAGCCCTCAGTGGGGGTGGCTGACTCCCTGGCTACAGTAGGCAATGGATAAACAGCCTTAGCTTTTCTTCATTTCCACAGAACATCTAAATCGTGGCTTCAATGTGTGGGCAAGAGCGTATGTTGGATTTAAGGCTGTGAATGTTCAGGCCATGATGCCAGTGTTCCAAGAAGGAAGACCGTGCGTGGCCTGGAGGCCTCAAGAGCATGAGATCTTGCTTAAGCACCATATTCAGCTTGTTTAGCATCATGAAAACAAATGACAAAGAGTGCCATGGGTTGGTGTGCATCTGTAGGGGCCTCAAACTAGGTACAAGGCCTTGCCTGAGAGATTGGTTATGTGAGCATTTTTGGCTTTCTGCAGTTGGTCCTAAATTAGACCTAAGAACAAAATTACAGAAACTGTCAGTTATTAATCAAGCCCATCCAAAAAAGAGAACAACTATGAAAGAAGATTTGGTTTAACTTTCTGGCTTGTCACCAGAGATAGCATTCTGCCAGTCTGACTCACAAGGAAGCAGGCTTTCTGTGGTGGTCTGGTTACAGAACAGGGGTCTTGGGCCAAAGCTCTATTTTTAGATATTGCCTACTTGTAGATTTTTCCCTTGAGACTTCAATTAACACCTCCCTTGGACAGGGTATCTGCCCTACACCGCTCTTCAAATCTACTGATGGTCTCTGGAACATCAGAGACTTCACATGTCCCAAACTTCTGCTACTCCCAGCGAAAATTCCTGCTGCAGCGCTCTCCCCCTCTCCTCCACCTCTCCCTAGACCTTGTCTCCTCTTCTCTCTCTCTCTCTCTCTCCTGATGACTCCTTGATACTTGTACCAAAGAACATGCCTACTGCTGTTTCTAACAGACAGAACACACACCTTCCTCCTGGTCTGGCCGACGAGTACCAGGAGTACCGACCTCGATGGGGGCAGGCGTGTTCCTTGGCCCTCTCCCCTCACCTTATTCTTGGTTCCACTCCGCATCCCCAGAGATGCTAGTAAAACCCGAGTGCTTTCAGCATCCTCCTGTGCCTTACACCGCCCACAGCACCCAGCGTCTTCACAAAGCAGCTTCTCAGCCTGCCATTCTTGGGACGCTATCTGGTCCCAGCAGATACTAGAGCCACCGAGTTTCCCGGACACTTCCAACTGGGTCTTTGCCTCAGGCATGTGCCCACATACTGTCAGGAAACTCTCTCTCCCCCTCACCGCTCAGAGCTCAGGAGGGGAAAGCCCTCTGCAGATTGTGCAGCCCACAAACAGGACCCACGCCCAGTGTGCCCCGCAGCAGCACTGAAGCTCGCACTCACCTGCACCAGGTCGCTCTGTGCTGTCGCCGCCATCAGGGTCAGTGGACCCAGGAGAGCTTTCAGAGGCTGGTGACCCACCCAGGTGGCTCCCTCGCGGGCTCAACCCACCACCCTCTTTGCCGAATCCCCGGCCGAGGGTCGATCTCCCGGCCTCAGTCCTCCAGTCAAACGCGCATCCCTGCGGTCACCTTAGTTTCAGGGGTCGCGGGTGCTGCAAAGGCAGGACGCCTCGTCCCCACTAGCCCCAGTTTGGTCACGGGCCAACTGGGTGCAGCGCAGTGCGGGAATCCCTGGCTCGCGCTGAGCAGGAAACTGCGACCGCGCGGTCGGTGACCACGCACTCCGCAGGCGCACAGCCGCTGCCCCACCTCCACCCCGCGTCTGCTTCCGGATCCAGGCCAGTGAGCAAACCTGTTAGGGCTCGCCCTGCAGCCCTCCCCCAGCTAGCCTCTTAAAGGGGCCGCTCCCAATCTTGGTAGCGTCAGCAGTCCTTAGCAGGTTGCGCTGTCCGCCCGCGCCCTGCTGAGCCGGCGATCTTCCATGAACCGCCTTACCTCTTGCGCAGGGACCTACTTTCACACCGAAACCCGCAGTTATAGCTAATTTGCGGGATCTTTGTTTGCTAAGCCTACGTGTTCTCTTTCATTCAATGCTTCTCAGACCAGAAAGGCTGACTTCACTGGGAATTTGTTAAAAATGAAAGTTGTTGGCCGCAGCCCAAACTTAGGGACTCAGAGGTTGCAGCTGGTAGTTGGGACTCAGCCTTCAGGGCTATGACAAGGCCCCGGGGAATGCCAGGACTGCTGTAACATGAGAACAGGGATTCATTCAGTCCACACAGTGGGATCCAAGCTCTGTGCATCTCTCGGGGTAACAGGCGGCCGACCTAGCAGGCACGAAATCCTTGCTCACTGTGAGAAAGCTGCTGTCATCCACAGCTCTCACAAGCACTGTCGTGGGAGGACGGCGGAGCCGCTGCTCTGCAGGGTCATCTGGGCCCATTGTCAGCCTGTACAATGCGGTCTGGGGCTGCGCAGGTGTGGTGCGCTAAGTGGGCCCTAAAGTGAAAGCACAGAGTTAAAGCGTTTGGCACCTTTTAATCTTTTCTTTCTTTGTTTTCTTTTCCTTTGTTAAAAAAAAAAAAATCTGCGGCCCCCCCCCCCCCAGATAGCTCAGGTGCTAAAGCGCCTGCTTAGGCAAGCTTAGGCAAGCTTAGGCAGGCGCAGGGGGCTGCGGTTCGATCTCAGGCACCACATGCCGCGCCAGCACCACTTGCGGTGCCAGCCCTGCCCTCAGGGCGGGGTGAGCCGCCCCCCCCCCAAAAAAAAAATATATCCATCCTGCTGCTGTTTTTTACATTTATTTTTAAATAAAAGCAGAAAATTTATTTGAAGGTAGGGAAGGCAGTATTCGAAATAGAAATATTCCTGGCTTTTTTTCATCTTAAGGACATTAAACACTAGTTATATCTATGGATCTTGTAGGACATGATGCTGTGAGACACACGCCACCTGTGGAATGGCTAAGCTGATAGGCGTCACCTCTCCGATACAGGGCCTTCTTTGTCAGTGTCATCCGCCTACATTTTCCTGGATGCTGATGAAATTAACTGGAAAGGGGGCGCCTGCCATTTCATTGGCACAAGAGACCTTCTCATGGAGGTTTGAGAAAGTGGTCAATGGTGCCTGGGAACCTCTAACCAAACAAAGATCCTGTCAATTAGCTATCACTGCCGGTTTCAACGTTCATCTAGGTCCCTGTGCGAGAAGAGAAGCTCCGCGGGGGCGGCAGGGCACAGCAGGCTGGCACAGCTGTTGGTCCGCAGAGGCCACTGCGCATGAGCGGCCCCTTTAAGAGCCAAGGGGAGCGGGGTGGGGGCTGCTGAGTGGAGGAGGAGCCGCGCGAGCCCTGTGGCTCGCGACTCTGAAGCGAGGTCACGCGCTGGGACTGAGAGGCTGTGTGCGTGCTGGGGCGTGGCCACCGAGCGCGGGGGCGGAGCTTCCTGCAGCTGTGAGTGCGTGGGTTATAGTGACAGTGCTGGTGTCCCAGTAGCCGGGAGTGGACCCAGGTCGGCTGGCTGAAACCGCGGGGGTAGGGGCGGCGCGCCTCGTATCTTTTGCTGCGCCTTTGTAGTACCCGCGAGCCCTGGAACTGCGGTGTCTGCAGGTGTCCAGGGGTGCACATTTGACTGGCGCACTGAGGCCAGGAGCACGATCCTCACTCAGCCAGGGACGCGGCAGAGAAGGTGGTGGGCTGAGCCCGCGCGGGAGCCATCTCGGTCGCCAGCCTTTCAAGGCCCTGCTGGGTCCATTGGCCCTGATGGCGGCGTCAGAGCAGAGCGACCTGGTGCAGGTGAGTGGGGGCTTCAGGGCTCTGCCCTGGACCTCAGCCCCAACCTCAGAGCCGGTTGCATCCTCTGAACCATAGATAGAGATCATAACTTTGGAATTTATCCGTGGCTAAGGATTAAAAAAGGAAGGCGGGGGCAAACATGTTCTTTGCTTCATCTGCACCCTTCTCAAGGGTGGCCTACAGAAATCTAACTTCCTGATGCCCATTCCCCCAATCCAGTTGGGACTCTCAAATTTCTTAGGTATGTGGGACTTCGTGTTATTTTAGCTATTTTCTGCTGAGAAGGGGCACTTGAGAGACTTAGGACTCTCACTCCTGCTGACTTTCAGGACTAGGGGGCCAGTAAAAGGTCCTCTATGGATGGAGAAATCAACTGGCTGAAACCAGCAGGCTATTGGAGCATCTGGAGAGGACTGGGGTGTAAAGGAGAGATGAAGTTAAGGAAACAGTTTAAAATACAAGGGATAGATATAAAAAACAAAACTAAATTAGTGAACCATTTCCATTGTGAGAATTGGGAAAGTCATACCCCACATCATTGTTCCAGTGTGTGTGTGTGTGTGTGTGTGTGTGTGTAGGGTGTCAGGTGTGCCTTGCATTTTTTTTCTTAAGTCCAGGGCTGCCCAGAAGTACAGAAATTAGGTAACAATCCACAAACCCAGCAGGCATTGCCTTCAACATCCTGGGCATACTCCTGAGCCCAAAGAAGAAAGCAGTTAGGACCTTCTTTAGTTGGCACAGAAAAAAAAAAACACCAAAAACAGATGCTAAAATATTGTTGGCCTGATCATGTCTGATACATCATATAAAAGACCACAGTGAAAATCCAGGAGGACAGGAGCTGAACTTATTATAACCAGTTGTCTTTTAATAAGGCCTGTTATAAACAGCAGCAGGTGGGCCCATTCCACCGGGAAGTACACAGGCATAGAATGGTAATTACAATAAGATTATGATTAAGAGGTTACTACCCAAGGTGCTCAAAGCCTTGTGTTGGAATGTAGGGTGAGATGGTGGGACCTTCACTCCTCAGTTGCTCCTTTACACAGATACTTGGTGGTACCCAGGTGCAGGTACCCAGAGGCCTGCAGGGATCCATCTGTGAAGGTGCTTTCTTACATGGCTTGGCCTGGGAATGATGAGTCCAGCTCAAATCCGTAGAACCTTGATAACTATAAAAGAGTACCCTTCCAGAGAGGAGTTAGCTGTTGGTCCTGTGGGCTCTTTCTATAAATTTTAAGTACCAAATTGACAAAGGGGCTGTTGAGGCTCTTAGGATATCTGTGATATTTAAAATCCATTATTCTTAATTGCCTGTTGAAAAATATTTAGTGTAGACACAAATTAGCCCAAGAATTGAGCTGCTACATCTAATAGGTGCCTACATATGAGAAAGGCTGACCATGTAATCCTTCAAATGGCCCAAGACCAGTGCATCAGTAGGTCCTATGAGAATTCTCAGTACAGCTATAGGTAAGAATACCTTGTATGAGAGGTGAGTTTCTTGACATAGCTCCTTTTTTTTTTTTTTTTCCGGTACTGGGGATTGAACTCAGGACCTTGCGCTTGCCAGGCATGTGCTTATTCTACTGAGCTATCTCCCCAGCCTGACATAGCTTTTTTCTGTAGTCTTAATGTTTGATTGACTTGTTCTGCAATGTTTGAAGACTCAAGTCTCCAAGAGTAATGAAGATAATATTTAAGTACCACCACCTTAGCCACCAACTGTATCTATCACCTAGAAAATGAAAGATGTGCCGTTACCACTTTCTTTAGAGGGACTTGGAAATTCTGAATCATGGAATAATTTCTTGGAGAACTGCTCTGAACTTCTTTGAATACTTCCGTAGCCTTTTCAGCCCTGGTGGGAAAGGCTTCTGCCAATCATATAAATGTGTAAGTGAGAACAAGTAGATATCTAGACCCTTGGCACAGAAGCAGTTGGGCAAAATATATTGGCTAATCCTCTCTTGAGCATTGTCCTTGTCTGGGTTGGGGTCACCAAGGGAGGGGCTTTCAACCCATGGGGATTGATGAGAAGTCATAAGACTAATCTTGTGACGTTTGAAGTCTTTTGCCACTAAATACCTGTTTTTATGCTTGGTATAGTCAGTCTTGACTTAAAGGGTAAGAATCGTATAATTTGTTAATAGTTTTGCATTGCGCTGACTAGGAGACATGAAGAAGGTTTGCTGATCAAACCACCCAAGTGTAACCACAGGCCAGAGCCAAGTGACATCCTCTGGGATATAAATAGGGAAAGGCAGATTTAGTCCTGATGTGGGGATGAGAGGCAATATAGCCTAAGAATTGCTGGCTCAGGGAGAAGACCAGCACCTTGTTGGTGTCTGAGAAGCAGAACGCTGAAACATCAGGAGACTGGGCCAGTAAAGAGGGAGTTGGATCTTACATTAAGGTCCAGACCTTAGATGATGGCCCTCTCTCCTCCTGCTTGTCACTGCTGCAGGCTCACAACATGGTTGTGTGAGGTATTTTTTTAAAAGCCAGTATTAATCTAACGAGGGTATGGTGCCTTCTTGGAGCTGGGAAGAAGGATGAGAGAGAGGATGAGTAGGGAATGGAGAGGGAGACCCAAGCAGAGACAACTGATCATGGAATGGAATGTCCCCCTCTTAGCAGGGCTGTGTGACCTTGGAGGACGTGACCATTTACTTCTCCCAGGAGGAGTGGGGGCTGCTGAATGAGGCACAGAGACTCCTGTACTGCAATGTGATGCTGGAGAACTTTGCACTCATAGCCTCTCTCGGTAAGGACATCTCACTTGCCTGGATATCCTGAACTCTTCTCTACTTGTCCCCTTTGCTCAAGGACACCTCTCTTTCCAGTGCCAACAGTATGCACAGTGCCTCTCCCCCATGTTCGTGTTATGGGTGTTGTGGGCTCCAGTGGGTTTCGAGACAGTGCCACATGCAGTGCCTGAAGGGTTCATGCAGAAGGAGCCTTGTGGTCAGCCCCACAGAGCCCCTCCTTCTGTCACTTTTCTCCTGGGTGACCTCCAGACCTCTGCCCCTCCTGTGGTTCAGATTCTGCTCCTTTTGCTAATATGTGCTGTACAAGACTGCATAGAACTACCATGCACTCATGTGGTCACTACCTGCAAATTCCCAGGATGTGCCTACCAGCAAACTCATACATATAATTTCTAATACTAAGTTTTCTTTCTTGTTGTGTGTGCTGGCTTACATCCTGTGCCCATCTTCCCTTAGGGCTCACGTCTTTCAAGTGCCATATCAGTGCCCAACTTGAGATGAGGAGGGAACTCTGGGGGCCTGGCAGGGTGAATATGACTTCGGCCGTGGCAAGACGCGCTTTTGGCAAGCCTAGCTCTGGTAAGCAGGAGCCGGGGGGAGGTGTGATATCACTGTGTCTGAATCGCAGCTGCTACTTTTCTCATACATATCATTATTTGTGTGAATGCTAATGGCTACTCTTCATCTCTGCCTTTCCTTTTCTATTCTTTAGATCCTATCTATTTGAATTTCTGTTCTGACTGTGGGCTTGACTCCTCTTTCTGGCCTCCATGTCTCAGTCCTTCCACAGTGACCTCTGCAGCATTCTTCACTGTTGGACTGAACTTCGTATGTTCTGAGAAAAGCATGTTTCCTTGATGTCCCTGAACATTAGCCAGTTAGTTGCATCAAATTCTCCTGGGTCTGGCCGTGCGTATCTGCCTCATGGCTCCCACAGTTTCTCAGAACCCAGTGCGCTTCTTCAAGGCCTTTGTAGAGAAGGTATTTGGGGACCCTGCCTCTCCTCAAGATTGTGCCCCATCCTGTGGTATAGATGTCCTCTATGTTGTGGCCTGGGTAGGCGCAGTAGTGTAGAGAGCCAACCATTCCTTACTCTGCCCCGAGGTTTTTCATCTTGCTAAGGTTCCAAAAGGACTCATTCTGGGATCAGACAAGTCTATGTGATGGGGCTATTTCTTTCTATAAATGTTTTAGTGACACAATCATAATTTCTCTGCTTACAGATTTTTGCTGTGGAACAGAGGGGAAGGAGCTACCTTCTGAGCAGAATTGTTCCCTTAAAGAAATATCACAAGACAAGAATCCTAAAACAGCTCTGTTTATGCAGAAGACACTCTCCTGTGACACATTTGGCTCATACTGGAATGACATTTTGTACCTGGCTGAACACCAGGCAGCTCATGCCAGGCAGAAACGCCATGTGTGTGAGGCAAATAGGACAGGATTCATGTTGAATGCACACCTTTGCCAGCAGCTGGTGCAGAAAAACGATGCCAAGTCTCCCAGAAGGGAGGAGGGCATGGCCTCTCCTGGAAAGACTGGCACAAATCACACATCCCAGAAGCCTTTCATGTATAGGGAGGGAAGGGAGGACTTTGTGGCCACATCGGGTTTTATGCAGCATCAGATCGCTCCTGGTGTAGAGGAGGCATGCAAGAATTCTGACAGTACGTTAAATTTTCCGACTGCTACATATGCTTTCTGTGACTCATCCACACTTGTTCAACAGAGAGTCTACACTGGAGAGAGGCCCTATGAGTGCAGCACGTGTGTGAGAGTCTTTAGTGATGCTTCCAGCCTCAAGCAACACCAGAGAGTTCACAGTACAGGAAAACCATATGAGTGCTGGGAGTGTGGGAAATTCTTTAGCCGGCACTTCAGTCTTGTGGAACATCAGCGAATTCACACTGGTGAAAAGCCATATGAGTGCAGTGAATGTGGGAAATGCTTTAGCCAACACTCCAGCCTTTTTCAGCATAAGAGAATTCACACTGGTAGACGTGCTTATGAGTGCAAGGAATGTGGGAAATTCTTTATCTGCAACTCCAGTTTAATTAAGCATGGGAGGGTTCACACGGGAGAAAGACCTTATAAGTGCAAGGAATGTGGAAAATCATTTAGGCAGATCTCCAATCTCACACAACACCAGAGAGTTCACACTGGAGAGCAGCCTTTTGAATGTGCTAAATGTGGAAAAGTCTTCAGCCGAAGCTCTAATCTCGCAAACCATCAGAGAGTTCACACTGGCGAAAAGCCTTACAAGTGCCCTGAATGTGAGAAGATGTTCAGCCAAATCTCCCACCTCAGGATCCATCAGAGACTCCACACTGGTGAACGACCTTACCAGTGCAGTGAATGTGGAAAATACTTTAACCAGAGTTCTAGCCTTAAAGCCCATCGGAGGTTTCACACGAATGAACGGCCTTATGAGTGCAGTGAATGTGGGAAATCCTTCAAACAAAGCTCTAATCTGAGGCAGCACCAGATAGTTCATAAACCAGACAGGCCTTATAAGTGCAGTGAGTGTGGGAAAGCCTTTACCCAAAACTCCACCCTCAGTAACCATCGAAGGCTTCACACCGGTGAACGGCCTTATGAGTGCAGCGAATGTGGGAAAACCTTCAGACAAAGGTCGAATCTGAGTGAGCATCAGATAGTTCACAAACCAGACAGGCCTTATAAGTGCTGTGAATGTGGCAAAGCCTTTAGCCAAAAGCGCACCCTCATTCAACATCAAAAAATTCACACCAGAGAAAGGAAGGTAGAGAATGTGTGTCTGACTTGTTGAGCACCACTGCACACAGCACAGTATCAGCCGGATTTTGAATCCCATTCATCCATGTTGTCGCACTGAGGAGACTCCCTTTATACTATATATATATATATTTTTTTTTGAAAGCTATATATGGTGAATGCTTTCAGGACCAAAGTCATATTTGTCCATTTTATCACTCCTAGAGTTTGGGACAGAAGCCATCTCAGCTTGGCCTACTGGCCAGCCTGAAGAGTATGTATCAGCCACTCCAGTGTCTCAAAGAAAGCAGCCCTTTGCTCTTTGTAGTCCATGAGTGGAACCTGAGTTCCTGAGGCCATGGAAAGATGTCACTCCCCCTGTATATGACTGTTTTAGCTGTGGGTGTGACCTGTTTGGGGCCATGATGACCTAAAATGAACTTCTGCTGGCAGCTTACTGAGACGGTTTCCTTTTTGGGGAAATTGGATTTATGTGACTGGATCAGAGTACTTAAAATACATTGGTCAATTCATGTTACATTAGGAGCCTTCTTGATTAAAGCATGTTTTATCTTTCTGATCACTATGGGAGTATTGTGAACAAAGAACAGATCTAAGTAAGGTCTTTTAATGGACAGCTCCAAATTGTGTGTGCTTCAGAAGTGACAGGATGGCAGAGAACTATTTTCAGCCCAGATTTGGCCTCACATTAATCTTTAACCAAGGCTTTCTAGGAAAGACTGTATTGCTTTGTCATCCTGTATTACTTTTTTGTTGTTGTTGTTTGTTTGTTTGTATTTTTAAATGTATTTAGGACAGGGTCTATGGGGTCTACAGGGTCTCACTACACAGATTGGACTTGTAGTGATTCTCCTGTTTTCAGCCTCCCAAGCGCTGGGATTACAGGTGCATGCCACCACACCCAGTCTCAATTACTGTCTCAGTGTGCCCAGGGGGTGGGCCTGCATGGCACACCAGCTGTATTGCTGTCTTGAATGCTATGCATTTTCATGACCTGAATGGCATGAAGTTTTCTCAACCTAATTGTGGCAACTTCTAGTGCATCTGAGAGCAGTATCAGTTGGGTCCCTTACCCTTAGCACAATGATGGCAAGCCTTTTAGAGACTTAAGTGCTCAAACTGCAACCCCCAAATCCACTTATTTATTGTAAAACACTACCACTACATTGGATCGTGACTTGTTTAGCTGCGGGGGCAATGCTGGGGTGACTTGGATTCGGTGCTGACAGAGGGCTATGCATACTCACTGTGGAACACACACCTCAGGTTCACCATGACTGCCCTAGTTGCTGTTCGTCTGTTACCTGCCAATGAGTCATATGCTATGAAGTTTAGTCTGTTATACAGATGTTTCTACCTTTAAGACCTGGTAAGGCCAGGTGGGTCCATAGTTTATACAGAAACATACAGTGTGGCTGTAAAGTGGGTGGGAACTGCTGGAATGGAACTATTCTAAAAATATATCCTCAAATGTTCCTTTGAATGTCACTGTGTAGAACTGAGGGCTGGTATCTAGATGTGCCCCTAAAGACTCATGTTGTCGTAGGTGGGAAGTTTCAAAGATGGCTGGATTAATGTGTGTGGATGTGTATGTGGATTAAGGGTGTGATGCTGAGGTTAAGGGTATCCTATCCTGGGTGTGGTTGCCACTCATCAGTAGGCTTATAAGCTTAATGAAATGTAAAGGCAGGCTTGCTGCTGCTGCTTTGCTGTCTCCTGCCTCCTGCCTGCTTGCCATAGACTGTTTCTCATTTGTGATGGTCCGCTGTCATGCTTATATATCTTGGAGCCAGCCAGTATGGACTGAAACCTCTACAAACTATGACCTGAAATAAACCTCTTCTCCTTTATTGGTGTTGGATATTTTGTCTCAGCACCAAGAAAAGTTACAGATTTTGTTTTTAGAAGTGAGGTGATTGTTGTGATACCACCTGGCGATGTAGTTCAGGAGCCTTTGGAAGTTGCATGTGGAAAGAGTTTGGAGGGGCAGCATACCAGGGTTCAATCCTCACCTCCACCTGCATTACCAGACCTGCCCTTAAGGGAGCCTGAGCCAGCAAAAAAAGAAAAAAAAAATCTCAACTTTGGCCCTGGGGAGATAGCTCAGTAGAATAAACGCTGGCCTGACAAGTGCAGGGTCCTGAGTTCAATCCCCAGTACTGGGGGAAAAAAAAAAAAGAATTTGGAAAGGTCTGGAGATGCTAGTTGAAGAATGCTTTAAGCTGTACTTGATGTAAGCTTCTTATGAGTGTTCAGAAGACCAGAATCATGATAGAAATACAGCCTGTAAAAACCAAGCTCGAGGTGTCGATTAGGAACAAGATGTCAAGGTGTCTGCATTGACTGTTGAACTCTAGACCATGTGTGTTATCCTTTGGCTGAAAATTTGTTTGCATTTTGCTGATGTCTAGAGACCTTGCCAAAGACTGAGCTTAAAGGCAACAAACCAATTTTTCTTTTTGAGTCAAGGCCTTATTGTATAATTTAGAGTCACTTTGAACTCACTATACACCCAGTCTGGCATTGAATTTGTAGCTGTCCTCCTGCTTCCCAAGTGCTGGGATTACTGGTCTGCATCTCTATTCCTGGCATAAGACTAATTAATCTTGCAGAAGAAATTTCAGGGCAGTCTAATGTTGAAGAAATGGCATGGCTATCGTTGGGGGCTTTTAGCCAGATCTATGCTGAGAATTAAGAGTGAAAATCTCAGCAGAATGATTTAAAATAGTTTGTGGGCCAGAGAGATAGCTCAGCGGTCTAAGCACCTGCCTGGCAAGCTCAAGGGTCTGGGTTTGATCCCTGGCACTGCATGCTGTGCCGGTCCTGCCCCGGGCTTGCTGAGCCACCCACTGAGAGGTGGCATGGTGGTGCATGCCTGTAATCCCAGCTCTGGGGAGGGTGAGACAGGAGGATCATTATGAGTCCCAGCTATGTAGTCATACCCTGTACCAAATACATTAAAACAATTAAATAAATGTGAAGGTTAAAATATTTTGGACTTTCCCAGAAAGGAAGCCCTAGTAAAGTTATGGACTACAAAGATGGAGAAAAGGAGAATTTGGTTACTGAGAAGGAACGGGGCAATAGAAAATATGCCCCAAGGACATCACAAAACCAGTAGTAGTCCAGCCTTTGGAGCCTCAAAAGTGGAAGACTTCTTTGAGGAGAATGCCCCAGACAACCATGTTCCAGAATGAAGGAGGCATAGGGAAGCTCTTCCTCAGGATTTGGTTCCTAGTACAATCCAGGGACTTGGGGTCCTGCCAGTAGCTCAGTTAAGTGCCTGCTTATGCAAACACAGGCACAGGATACCATGGTTCAATCCCCAGACCCGCCCTTAAGGCAGGCTGAGCCAGCCAAAAAAAAAAAAATCCTACAATCCAGGACCTTGATACCGATAGCCAAAAGAGAAGGAATCCTGGATACTGGTCCAGCTGGTGGCAGGTTTTGGCATCATCCACATAGTGCTGGTTTTAGGTAGATGCAGGGTGTAAGAGTTGTGGCTCAGGAAGACTTCCACCCAGGTTTCAGAAGAAGGCCTGGGAAACCAGGCAGTGTGCCTCTGAGAGGGAAGCATGTGAAACTCAACATGAAGTTGAAGGTATAGGGGTGACCCCAGAAGGTCGGAGAAGCCAATAACATGGATTATCTGAGGAAAACTGCCAGGAGTGAACAAATCTGGCCCGTGAGAGGTGCAACCGTTGGGGATGTCACAGGGGCAGAGTCACCCTAGCCCTTTGGAGCTCACATCTTGCCTCACATTGCCCTGGATGCTCAACATGGAAATACGGGACTTAATGTTTGTCCAGCTGGGATCTTTCTTTCTTTCTTTCTTTCTTTCTTTCTTTCTTTCTTTCTTTCTTTCTTTCTTTCTTTCTTTCT